AGAGGACAGAGGAGTCAGAGGAGTCAGAGGGGTCAGAGGACAGAGGAGTCAGAGGGGTCAGAGGGGTCAGAGGACAGAGGAGTCAGAGGACAGAGGAGTCAGAGGGGTCAGAGGGGTCAGAGGACAGAGGAGTCAGAGGGGTCAGAGGGGTCAGAGGACAGAGGAGTCAGAGGACAGAGAAGTCAGAGGACAGAGGAGTCAGAGGAGTCAGAGGACAGAGGAGTCAGAGGACAGAGGAGTCAGAGGGGTCAGAGGGGTCAGAGGAGTCAGAGGGGTCAGAGGGGTCAGAGGAGTCAGAGGAGTCAGAGGGGTCAGAGGGGTCAGAGGGGTCAGAGGAGTCAGAGGGGTCAGAAGGGTCAGAGGAGTCAGAGGAGTCAGAAGTCAGTCATATAGAGGAGCTCCTGAAGCAGATTTTGGGTCTGATGCTCAGAGGCTCTTAGCAGACACCAGGAGGTGGACTGAAGTCCTGAACCCCCCGCCCCCCCATCCGTGATTGTCCCAACAGGATGTGATGTGAGTCAGCGCAGTGTGATGACACTGTTTCCTGTTGGGCTGTCAGTGATTGAGCTGAACGTGTGTCTGACGCCCTATGTTTATTCTGTCGTTGCCGTTGGAGATGCCGCCATGGATGAAGGACTGCTGATTGATGAGATTTAAATTTGGGAGTTACCTGAAGGACACCTGATGTCACACTGACTGCTGTGATGTCACACTGACCGCTGTGATGTCACACTGACCGCTGTGATGTCACTACAGAAACCCAAATAAGTCATCATCAGGCTGGAGGGAGATTAGCAGGAAGGTTTCTGGTGAGAACTGTAACGCTCAGCAGAGGTCGCTGTACTATAGATGGGGGTGTGATGCATTCTGGGAGCTACGGCAGTGACACCTATCAGTTACCTGTGACAGTGATGTCATCTGGAATAATCAGGAAGTACATACTCATCCTGTCAGAGGTCACTGTGAGGGCGCAGCTGATTGAACCGACATGACAGAGTGACAGAGAGCGCCTGATGTAACGTGACGTGGCGTGACAGTCTGACGCTCACATCCTGATCGGACACACTGTGAGACAACATGAGATAAATGAGCACTGACCCTCCGACTCGATTAGCAAAGTCCATGATTCCATCTTTGGTTCTTGGTCCTGAGTAAAAATATCTGACGTCTTTCTTCAGCCTGAGAACACAGAGAACCATCAGTTAGTTAAAACCGTCAGTCAGAACCTTCACTCAGAACCTTCAGTCACAACCTTCAGTCACAACCCTCAGTCAGAACCATCAGTCAGAACCTTCAGTCAGAACTCTCAGTCACAACCTTCAGTCAGAACCTTCAGTCAGAACCTTCAGTCAGAACTCTCAGTCACAACCTTCAGTCAGAACCCTCAGTCAGAACCTTCAGTCAGAACCTTCAGTCAGAACTCTCAGTCACAACCATCAGTCAGAACCATCAGTCAGAACCTTCAGTCAGAACTCTCAGTCACAACCTTCAGTCAGAACCTTCAGTCAGAACCATCAGTCAGAA